TGCTGCTCATGCTGCTGGGCAGTCAGGCGTACGGGCTCCACCGAACTTCAGGGAACATTAACACCACCGACTGGCACTGCGGATTCAAAAGAAGCAGCAGACGGTGGGGCACAATCATCTTCAGCCTCCGCACAGCCATCCGGCACGCCCACTTCCAACACTCCCGGCGGCGGCGATGGTGGAGGCGCCACTACAAGCACGACCGCCAGCAGCCCCAGTGGTGGGAACCACACGAAAGACAACGCGGACGGCAGCGACACGTCCACTGTGTGGGTGCGTGCCACGCCGCTGCTGCTGCTGCTGCTGACGGCTGCCGTTGCCTGCACTGCTGGGGAGTGACTGCTGCGGGGCAACCGCACACACGCACACACCCTGGCAGGGCGACGCAGCGTGTTTGTGCGCTGAGTTTGCGTGTCGTCCCCGTGGTCCAACTCCTTTCTTGTGCTTTGAGGGGTACTCCTTTGCTTTTTTTTTCACTTTTGTTTCAATGGTCGTTTGCTACGCACACTCCCAGTGGGTGGTGCCTCCCCCTCCTGTTTGCCGCTGCCATCAACACACGCACGCTGCCGGCATCGTGGCTGTGCGTCGCACGGACTGCCCGAAACGAGAGACGAGGCCGCGGAGACCGTGAGGGGCAGCCGTGATGTGTGCGATAAGGCAGTTCTTTTTTTTTATGCGGGCAATGAGTACACCCACACACAGCCCTCTTGCGCCTCCGGCCATGTGAGTGGAAACGCCTGCCAACGTAATTGATTCATGTTGTTTTTGTTTCCGCCAGGGGTCCTGCTGAGCTTCCGCCTTAATTTTGTTTCATCTTTTTTTGTTGGGTAAATCACTGCGGCTCGCTTTTGGTTTGCGCCGTGCCAGCTGCTGTCGCAGCGTGTCGTGTTTGCTGCCGCTGCCTGCTGTGCGGCTGACATGCCCCCATTCCACTTTTTGTTCCCGCTAGAGGCACCGGTAGTTCACGGCGACGATTCTTTTAGTTTTCTGCTGCGATGGCGCGGGAGTGGCGGGGCGTTTGGCCGCCGCTTTGAAGGGCCCCGCTGCGGAGGGAGAGAATGGGCGGGGTGTGCGGCGCTGTTTCTGCGTGCGGTGTTGGGTGCGTTGTGCGGCCGGCTTTTCCTGCGCGTGTCTCCGCCCTCGCGCGGTGGGGGTGTTGCACTGCGCCTTCGCCGCGCCGTCTGCTGCGGTGCGTGTGAGCGGTGCAGCGACAAGAGTGGGGATGGCTGGCCGTGTGCTGTTGGTGTGCGCCCTCTGCGTGCTGTGCTGCTGCTGCTGCGGTGGTGTCGGTGCGTGGGGCGGCGGCTACTGCACGGAGGGTGACTGGAGGGACTTGAGGGCGGTCACGAAGGACATGACGGAGGCGGAGATTGAGGGGAAGTACTGCGGCCGCAAGCCGGAGTTTGCGCAGGGGCTGCGGGCGAGTCCGCAGTCAGGCGGTGAAGGATCTTTCTACAGGCACCGGCGGGAGTAGTCCGAGCAGCGGCGGAGGAGGCGAGGACCAAACTGAGGATGGGCGGTCAGGTTCAGACAGCCATGAGCGGTCCGGTGTTGCAGGTGGAAGTGCCAGTCCGGGTTCGTCGGAGGAGAACATCAGTGGCGGAGGAGAAGTGGGACCACCGGGGGGCGTGGAGGGACGAAAGTCTTCAGAGCAGGCGGAAGGGCCATCATCGTC